TGTCTATTCAGCAGTTTGCAGTCTTGGTCCGTTCAGAGAATCTCACCAGTTCACCTATGCCGTCGCCATCTTGCCCCATCTCCAAAAGTATATTTTTAATGGTTGCTCTATAGTTCATAAATATATTTTAAAACAATCTGTCTTCAAACTATCTCATACTGCTTCACATGTAGAATAAGAACCTTTTGACAGTACTCTCTGAATTTCTTCCCATCCCTTGTGCTATTGTTGTCATACCTTTAAATATAGTCAAAACACACAGTACATTGGGACAGGTTTTGCTATAGACAGTTAACTCTTAAAACAATTTGAGATATTAAAATACTTTATTTTATCTTCGGTTATTCATTTCTGATGTACTTTATTTCTTTGGTAGATCCAAATTTCTAACCCATTCATATTTTCTGCCTGGGAAACTTCCTTTAACATTTCTTTTAGAGTAAGTCTGCTGGTAGTGAGTTTCTTCAGTTTTTGTGTGCCTATAAAATCCTTTGTTTCTCCTTCTTTTTGAAGAATGTTTTGCTGGTTATAGAATTTGGATTTGACAATTTTTCTTTTGATGCTCTGAAATATTATTCCATCATCTACTGGCTAGCATGGTTTCTGATGGGAAGTATGCCATAATTCTTACTCTTGTTCTGTTGTAAATAATATGTCTTTTTTCTCTAACTGCCTTTGACTTTTTTCCTCTGCCTTTTTTGCAGCAATTTGAATATGATATGCTTGGGGTGTATGCGTGTGTGCATGTGAATCCTGCCAGGTTCTATACTTTTCTCTGTAGTTTAGTGTCTACAACTAATATAGGAAAATTCTCAGTCATGTTTTATTCAAATATTTCTTCTTTCCCATGTTCTCTTTCTTTTTTTCCCCTCAGCTTCCAATGATGGGCATGCTAGGCCATTTATATGGTCCCACAGCTCTGACATATTCTGCTATATTTTCCCTTTTTTTTTCTCTCTTTGCATTTCAGTTTGGGGTCATGCTAGTGACCTATCTTCAAGTTCATTCATTCTCTCTTTGGGTGTGTTGAATCTACAGATGGGTCTGTCAAAGGCAATTTTCATTTTTGTTACTGTTTTTTCCATTTCTAGTACTTTCATTTGATTCTTACAGTTTTCAGCTGTCTGTTGAAATTTCCTGACTAATCATATGTGTTGTCTTCCTGTTCCATTAGAGTTTTAACACATAAACCCATTACTTAAAAATTTTTTTTCTGACAGTCTCCAAATTTATTTCATATCTGAGACTGATTCTCATGATTGCTTTGTCTCTTCAAATTGTTTTTATAATTGCCTTTGGTATGCCTCATAATTTTTTGTTGAAAGTTGGACATTTGTATAGAAGGAGCCAGCAAAGCTTTTCTGTAAAGGATCAGATAGTAAATATGTTAAGATTTGCAGGCTATGTACATGCAGTCTGTTGTTCTTCTTTTCCTTCTTCTTATCCCCCTTCAACCCTTAAAAATGATGAATCCACAAGGCTGCTGAACAGGACCAGCCTCATTATACTGACTCAGTCTCAGGAAGTCAGGAAAACTTCATGGAAGAGGTGGCTTTGAAATGAGTTTTGAAGGAATAGTTGACTTTCCTGAGGAGAGTGGAAGAAACAGCAGGTGCCAGGTGTAAGGATATGAAAGAGACAGTGTGGGAAAGCTGAAGCTCAGCAAACAGGGTGGTGCTGGGCACACAGGCCAGGTCTTGAATAATGAGGTAGAGTACATGGGCGGGGCATCAATTGCTTCTCACCCCTCAGCCTCCTACCCTCTTCCATGGTGGGGATTTTAATAGGCTGCTTTGCAAGTTTGGGAATACACTTTGAAGTTTGGGGGTCGGAATAACAGTTGGCAGATGCCAAGTCTTATTTACAGAGCTCACTAAAAGTCCAGTGTCATTTGATTTATTTTTATGGGCGAGATTGCATTTTAATCCTGTTGGAGGAGTTACATCAGAGTGTCCTGACAGTAGTGCTGGTAGGAAATGCATGGAAAGATCGGGAGCTTGTTTTGTCAGGAGCTGGGAGATGCAGCCAAGAGAAAGTGGCTTTGACCCCATGGCCACCCCCTGGTACTACAGGGAATCCAGAACCCACAGTGCTCTTCCACTGAGAAGCCCCCAACACCAAAATGACTACTCAACTTGGTGACACTCCCTGCAGAGCCTGTTTTGCTTTACGTCTGAGAGAGGGACTAGGGTTGTGACCAGATAGCATTAGAGAACTTGCTGTGTGGCAGGTTTGGGGGGACAGGTAAGTGCTCTCACCCTGTGGGTGGAGGCCCAGTGGCCCTATGCAGAAGGGAGGGGGAAAAAGCTGCCTCCTCTGAGGGCATTGAGTTGGGATCTCTGACTCTGCTCAAAGGCTGCAGGAAGCTCCCCCAAGTAGGTGACCTGAGAGCTGGGCCTCAGAGGAGGAGTGCGGGGCCATGCAGAAGACAGGAGTCCCAGAAGGAAGCACCAGCAGGAGCCAGGGATGTGGGTGCTGGGGTATATGACTTCTAATGCTGCCTGTGGGGAGGTCTGCCCACCCACATCTAGGGTCTCCAATTCTGGCCTGGGCTGTCACTCACTGCCTGGACCAAGTTCTACCAGCTATGAGACCCAGGATAAGTAACTTGTGGTGCTTCAGTTTCCTCATCTGACAGATGGGGATGCTCATGGGAGCCTAAATGATGATGTGTGTGAGGTACTGGACTAGAGTCCAGCACACACCTGTGCTCACTGGACACTGGCTCTGCCCTGTCCCTCTGCCTGCGTCCTGAGCTTGCTCCCTTCGATGCTCACTGGCCTTCCTTATCCCAGAGTGAAGCCTGTCTCCCAGGAATATCTGCTGTCCATGGGCTCAGGTCCAGGACAAGAGTGGCACTAGTGTGGTCTTCCTGTTTCTACAGATGAGGATGTTGAGAAACAGGGAGGGGATGTGACCTGCACGAAGTCACATGGAGGAGCTGCAGGGTCCCGGGAGTCTCTGCCCTATGGCACCATGTGGCTCTGTTGACACACCTACTTGGGGGTCACCTCTTCTGACCCCTTCCCTTGACTCAGGGCTGCTGCAGCACCCAATTCCCTCTGCAGTGACTGCCCTCCCATGGGGGTCGCCTGGGCCCCCAGATTCTCTGGAATCTGAGGTTTCCCTGGTCTTGGCAAGAGCTCCCTCAGCCTCATCCTCGATGCCCGCCTTGCCAGGCTGGGACAGGAAGCAGAGAGCTGTCTCCTATCCCCAGGGCACCTGCTGCTGCCTGCACACCCCATGGGGAGGGACTGGATTTCCTCCCTTCTCTCCACGTCGGCCTTAGTGTCTTCTGATGAGATAGAATGGACTGGCGTGGTCAGCAGGGCCTGGCACTCTGTGCACCCAAGGGACAGGTTTGCACTGGTTCTTGTTTCCTGAGAGCTATGAGGTTCCTAGGGTGAACATTTGAGCCTCTCCTTGATCAGCGGTTGTGGCTGTGTCCCAGTGGGTGTAGGGACAGTGAGAGGAATGGTTGTGGTAGTGAGGCCCCAGGAAAGGAAGGCAAATCCAACACCACTGCCCAGGGCCCTGGACCCGCACTCCTGGTGGCTGGGCCACTGTGGGTGCTGGTGTGCCATCCTCCCACAGGGAAACGTGAGTGTGCATGGCCCCTGCAATGCTTACAGGTGTGGTGACCTAGACACCATGGCAGCAAGGTCCTCAGTCCCGCACAATTTGGTTAAAAGCAAATCTCCACAATTGCAATGAGTCCAGACATCCCAGTTGAGGTTGATTACAGAGAAAAAATGAGGTAAAACTAAGAGAAGACACCTCCCACTTCACAACACAACTTGAGTGATCAGGAGATCAGAGCTGGGCACTTTGGAGCGTGGGCCTGGACCAAGCGCAGGAAGCCCCTTGCGAGGTAGGGTCCCAGGGCAGGGGCCCCCCTTTGCTAAGAGCTGACATTGCAGTATCCCATGAGCCCACCCTTCTCGGTCTGGAGGACCAGCACGAAGGAGGAGACAACTAAGGACGCATGGAAACAAAGGTGACCCAGCAAAACGTCTTGGAGGTAGAGAGCCTATGCTGGGTGAGGCAGGCTGGGCTGTCTCTTCCCACGTGCTCAGGAGTTGTGTAGTTCCAGCTTCACAGGAGAGCTCACTTCAGGTGTGGCCTAACTTAGGCCCTGCGCAGGGCTGGGGAAGGGGGCGTTGGTCAGCCTGGCCTGGGGCCCGGATGGGAGTGGAGGTCTGCCTCACCCTCCCTACCCTCCTGTCCCTTGCCCCCCTCCTCTCTGGCAGCCTGCGGCCACACAGCTCTGAGCAGGTCTCCTGCCCGCCGCTCCCAGTTCCCTGGAGCTGCTACCAGGAGGCAGCAAACTCTCCCATGTCTCCCTCTCCACGTATCCCAGCAGGTGAAAGGAGAGCAGTGATTTTCAGTCTTCTCTCATCTTGTCAAACCTGCCATCCCAAGGAAAGGTCCCTCTCACAATGGTCACTGATGGCGGTTCCAATCAGCTGATCATTTGGCCGGGCCTCAGGAAGGCTGATCCCAAAGCGCTGACTGCCTGACTTGGGAATGAGTTGTCCTGCAGTGAGGTCGGGCTGGCCGGGATCCCTGAGCAGGGACAGGGACAGGGACAGTCAGTGTCCATGCCCCCAGGAGCAGAGATAGGGCCACCCTGATAGCGCAGCAGGCAGCACAGATGTCTTCTGACCCAGGGCCCAGGAAGCAGGTGGGTAGAACAGGTGGCAGCCCTCAGATACCGGGGTGCAGGGCACGGCTGCCCTGGACTAGAAGAGGTACCCAGCAGGCCGTCACGAATAAAACCACCAGAAGTTCCAAGTTTTTAATTATTTTATCAGTAGCAGTTTTTAAAAAAGTCTCAAGAATCATTCCTACAAAGACTATTTGCTCAAACTAGTGGGTGAGGGTGCGTGAGACACCGTGATGCACCCCCACCCCCCACTCCCTGAAGAGCATCCCAGAGAGATGAGGGCTGGACTTGAGGTTGGGTTTTGTTTCCGGAGACACTTTGGAAAATTCATTAAAACCCCAATTATATGATTTTATTAGTCTTGTGTGCAGGCCTTGTGACCCGTCTGTCCCGCTGGGTGCACCACAGGGATCCCTACTGGAGAAAGGCCCGGAGGAAGTCATTGTAGGAGACCTTTGAAGACAGAGTCTTATCGTAATACTCCAGAATATGGAAGAACTCCTCCTCAGAGAGGTTGATGCTGTACTGTCTCAGGACCTGCAAGACGGAGAGAGGGGGCCACTGGGGTTCATCATGGCCTCTGTTTAAAGAGGCAGGCTGTCAGGAAGGGGCCGGGAGACATGTTTGTCTCCGCCCTGCTCCCCACTTCTACCTGGTCCCCCACCTCCAGTGTTACCCCCAGCGTGTAGCTCTTTCTCTTCTCTCCCTTTCTGATGTCCTCTCTCTCTCTCTCCTCCTCTCTCTCTTTCTCTTCTCCTCTCTCTCCCTCTGCCCTCTCAGCCTCTACTCAGACATGAAGCAGCCCCCAAGGGCATCCCCACTGTGCATCTTGGTGTGAAATAGGAAGAGACAGGAGGTTCATCACCTTCACCCCCTGAAAAGTAGTTGGTCAACATGTCAGACAAAGTGGAAGGACAGAGAAGGGGGAGTTGGAGGGGAGACCCTGCCTCAGGGTCCTACCAGGGCGGGGCCTCAGGGTGTAGTCATGCAGAGGAGGGCAGGGCCAGCAGGTGCAGGCTGTGGTCACACAGTCTGTGGCAGGGCCTGCCAGTCACCCACCCAAGGCCCAATGCCCCTTCCTCCTCAGTTGCAGAACCTGATTTTCTGAGGTGTGGCCAGTTAACCAGGAGCATTCTCCAGCCTCCCTGTGGCAGGTGCGTTCTGGTCAGGGAAACCCAATAAGAATGTTGTTTGGCGCTTCTGGGAAGCCTCCTGTGAAAGAGGCAGTCGTGCCCCCTTCCTCTCTTTTTCTCTCTGCTGCCTGGAATATGGACCTGATACTCTGGCTCCAGCAGCCACTGTGGACCAGGAGACAGCCTTGAGGAAGGAAGCCAGGTCTTGAGGGCAGGGGAGCAAAAGTACAGCCCCTGATGATTGTTGAGCCACTGTCCCAGCTCTGGATTTTATTATGTGGGAGAGAAATGAGCTTTCACCTTGCTTAAACTGACATTTTTTTCTCCTGTTACATGCAGCCAAAACAATTCATACCAGATAGATCCTAGTGATAGAGATCAGGTCACAGATTTTCTATCTACATTTTGTGTTATAATTTGTTTCTACGAGGAGACTGGAGAGTGGGGCTAGAAGGCCCAAGTCTCACGGGGCTGAGGTCCACTACCGTGGCTGCCGGCTCAAAGGGCTGAAACTGGAAGAGGAAGTGGAGCCTGAGTGTCCGGAGCAGGTCTCAGTTACACCATCTGACCTCTGACCCGAGCTCTATTCAGGCCAATGTCCCCACTTTTACTGGCCTTTCCACTGCTGTGCCCCCACTCCTGGGCTGTTGCCTGGAGAGGAGAAAACAGACCCAGCCCTGCTTCCCTCCCTTCTTTGCATGGAGGGAGAAAGAGGCGCCCTGGTTGAGATTTATGCTTGACCAACAGTGTGGATGTGAACTGGAAAGCCACCTTGGGTGTCTGTTAGGCTGTGGGGTTGAGGGCACCAAGGGACAGATGACTTGGAGGTGTTTACCCAGCGACAGGCGTGGGCTAGGCGGGGCCTGATGCCCAACGCTGGAGCCCCCCGTGCGCTGCAGGGGGCAGGGCTCGCTGTGCAAGCTCCATGTTAGTCAGGCTCTGCAGAGTCTGCAGAGAGGCCCAGAAGGGACACGCCCAGATGTGGGGTGACAGGAAAGCTCAAACCCAGCCAGGGCTCTGATCAGCAGCAGCAACAGCAGCAGCAGCTGCAGTGCCTTGAGGGAAGCCGGGCTCAGGCATGGGCACCAGCCCTGGCGGGAAGAGTGGGAAATAGAGCTCTGGGAACCCTCAGGGAGGAGAACCTGGGGTTTGCGGGTAAGGGACAAGTGGACTGAGGCCTTGATAACTTGGGGGGGGTCCCAGGATGTGCAGTCCGGGCCAGCCAGACACACCTGGCCTTCGGCAGGGCCCCTTTGAAGTTTTCTGGCTTTGGGCATTTGGCAACTGCTCCCTGCTTAGAGGCAGCAGGCACAAGGGCTGTGCTCACCTTCCTGAAATCAGCCACACTTAAAAGCCCGGTTCCCGCCTCGTCATAGGTTTTGAACGTGCGCCGCATTGGCCTCCAGCAGTGCATGATTTGGGGTTGAATCCGCAGCAAAGCAGAGTAAAAGGAAGAGGTCTCAGCACCAGCTTCTTTCTAAAAAACCCATAAAATAAGATGGGATGAGAAAACAGCTTAGAATGAGCTGGATGGGGGGCAGGCCCAGGGGAGCCAAGAGCGGGCTGAGGGCTTCCTGTTGCCTTGAGGGACTACAGCTTTGCCCGGCTGCACTTCCCCAATGCTGGCTCCAGGTCTAGGATGGACCTTGCAAGCACTGATGCCATCACCATCCCTCTAATCACTCAAAGTCCACGTGTGGGCTGTTTAAAAACACCGTCTCAGTGATACCTCCCTTCCCCTCCCCTGGTAGCCTGGAAACAAGGCAGGTCTCCTCTCCCCATTTCACAGATTGGGAAATGGAGGCTTGGGGAGGTGGAGTGATCCAGGCTCTGACCCCAAGACACTTCAGGGCACACTACCTCCCAGGGTGAACCCAAGGAGAGGGCTGGGCAGGTAATGGGTCAATTTCAGAATAGTTTGAGAGGGGGGAGGGAAAAAAGGAAAAGATTTCTGTCTGGATCTTCTAATGGGTTATTATAATGAAGAGTGTTTTTTAAAAATCACAAGGTTGTAATTATATCTAGTAATTAGACAGTACACTACACTGTGATTATTTCATTTAGGTGCTATTAGATTGAAAACAAGATATTTTAGCGTCATTTAGCCCCAACGCGTCTGAATACCACAGAGGTGAACCGTAGGCAGTGATGTGTAACACATTTTGGAAAAGTTTAATTTTAACATGACACTACGTAAAACAAATGAGCAGAGAGTTCAACTGCTTTCCATTTTTACATCACTTAGCATCTGTGATGGAAACTCCCCAGGTACCCTACAGCTTTGCTAGCTGCCAGTGTGCCCAATCAGTGGAGCCGCACACGAGGAAGAAGGAGTTTGAGGCTCACACGCCCTCCCATACCCGCATCTGTCACGGGCAGGACAGCTGATCCTGCCTATGACCCAGGAGCTACAGGGAGTGGCAGAGCCCAGGCTATCCTCCCCAAAGGCCATCTTTAGAGCAAGCTCCCTAATAGCGAGAAGACGATACTACCCTTTAGGAATCTCTGCAGGGAGACATTTGACCCGAGCTTCACACTTGTGCGGCAGCTGCCGGAGGAGACAAGGACTGTGACCAGGATCGCAGCAGGGCCCACTCTCTCCTGGGAAAGCGCGTGGGCAGCCTCTTAGTCCAAGTAAGTGCAGCGTAAGGTCCAGGGAGGAAGGGCGGGAGGACTGTTCTGAACCAGAGTGGCCCTGGGTAGAGGTGGGGGTGAGGGTGCAGCGGGGTGTGCTGGGACATTCGCCAAGAGATCAGAGGGTGAATGAAGCGAGGCCAGAGCTGGCGGGGCCTTGAAGGCTGTGTGGTCGCCATGGTTCTCCACCTATGTTCCGGGCCCCACGAGGATTTGAGGACAGTCTTCTCTGTGCACAGAAGACTGGGGCCAGTAGCAAAGTGGCGGTAAGTTGCTTTTGGTAAACTTGGTCTAAGCCTCTGATGCTAGCTCCTGCTTGTCTAAACTAGAAGCTATGCTAGGATGGTACCTGATTTTGCACAAAATTAAAAACTAGCTGTGAAGAAACTTTCTGCACGGCTTCTGCTTACCTGTTGCTGGACTAACGCACCCTGCAATCCCTACAAGATGATGCTGACTGCAGCACAGGAGCCCTTGGGCTGGTGGGGTGGGGCCAGGTTGGGGTGGGGCAGGGCAGGTGCTATCTCGGGTCTGTCTCTCACTTCAGTCCCTCCAGCTGTGTTTGGAATTGCTGTGTTTGTTCCCCAGATCTGCAATGCCAGCTGTATTTGTTATTTAATTCAATGTAACTTTTTTTTTTTGAGTTGGAGTCTCACTCTGTTGCCCAGACTGGAGTGCAGTGGCACCCTGCCGGCCACCGCAGCCTCGACCTGCTGGGCTCCGGCGATCCTTCCGCCTCAGCCTTCCAAGTAGGCGGAACTAAAGGTGCACGCTACAATGCCCAGCTAACTTTTGATTTATTGCAGAGACACGGTCTCGCCAAGTTGCCCTGGTGGGTCTCGAACCCACGGGCTCAGGCAACGCACTCGCCTCGGCCTCCCAAAAGTGCTAGGATTACAGGCTGAGCCACCGAGCCCGGCCAATTCAATGTAACTTAATTCAACATTATAGATAACAGAATAGGAGCATGAAAAACATTTTTTTTGGCTTCATGTTTTGGAAAGGCTAGAGCACGGCAAGTCAGTGAAACGCTGTGACTGCACTGCACTGGGTGTGGGTTTCAGTTATACAAGTATAAGTGACTGAGAATGAAAGGTAAAAATCTGGAAGAACCATGCCCTCCAGTTGCTAGTTAAGAGTCTTTAGGCTCTCATTCTCTCCAAAGAGACAGAGAAATAAAACTGTAGATGATGCGTCGTGGATATAGTTTAGGCAAGAAAGACAGGATACCCCCACCCACCATTCTGCACTCAGGAAAGGGTCTATCTCAATGACTGATGGATGGATATGTATTTCAGCCAGATGTTCACCTTTGCCATGACCGCCATCCGCATCTCCCCTGCCTTGTGCCAGTCCCTGCTCCCAGGGCTTCGTATGAGTGACTGACACTGTATCAGCTCATTAGTCATTAGATGCTCTGGGAAGAGCCATGACAGTCAGAGTCCAAGCTACTGGCTCCCAGTCTGGGGTTTCCAGACCCTTATAGGGTTCTGAAAGGAGAGAAAGGAAATCTCTGAATTACTCCAAGAAAGCAAATTTCTGAGCTGTTTTCAATGTCCCCGAAGCCTGGTGCAAGCCATATCTTACCCAGCCCTTGACTCCCAGGTGTGAGCCTCCCGACGCACAAGTCATGGGCTTTGACAGACCTGGCCATCTCATGTGACCTGACAACTGCCAGACACTGTCCGGCGGTTAAGTAATGGAGGAAACAGGATGACAAGGTGTTGCTCGACAGGCATCATATGTGTACAGAGAACACATGTGCAGGGTCTATGGGGAGGTGGCAGGAGGCTGGGGACGTTTGGCAGATGAGTCCTGGCGGGCAGCAGAGCAGAGTTAGGCTCTGGCCAGTCAGCCACACTAGGGGCTCTGAGTCCATCCAGCCCGCCATGTTTGTGAAGTGAGGTGATCTCATCTGTGACAAATTGAGAAAAACGTGGGAGCTAAGCTTTGGGTACACATGGACATAAAGATGAGGATAACAGACACTGGAGACTCCTAGAGTGGGAGGGAGAGATGGGGGCAAGGGTTGAAAAATGACCTATTGGGAGTCATGTTCACTACTTGGGTGACGGGTCCAGTGGAAGCCCACACCTCACCATTGTGCAATATACCCATGTAGCAAGCCTGCACATGCAGCCTTGAATTTAAAATTTAAAAAAAACCCCAAAACCCTGGAAGAGTGCCTTTAGCCCTGACCCATGTATTGCTTAAAGGTGGTTTATATACCATTTTATGTGCATTCTGGATCTTCATCCTATGCATCAGTGAAGTTTCCTTGGCTTTCAGCAGGAGGACACAGCTCTGAATGAAATCACAGTAGGCAAATTTACCATTGTTCTTCAGGTCATACTTTATAACGAGCTGCTGGCACTCCTCCTTGTTTATGTCCAGGTTGAATTTCTCCACAAGAGCTATAGACAAAAATGGCAGTTCAGTCCATGGCAATTCATTCATTCATTCATTCTTTCGACATTTGCTGAGATGCCTTCTATGCTTTAGGCCCCAGATTGGTCCTTGCTTCACAGAACTCATCCCACGCATGTGAATGGACATACATGGAAACAGACAGACATAGGACCAATTCAATGCCACAGAGACAGGGACCCAAGTGCTGCTGACCTACACTGTCCTGGGAGTGCATGATCACAGCTTATGACAGAGGATGTGGAAGCTCCGATGAGGAGGGAGCTTAGAGAGGGAAGTGAGGAGGGGTATTCCTGACAGAGCCAGGGCCCAGCCAGCACATGAAGAATAAGGGAAATCTCCACAATCTTGGTGTCAGCCTGGTCAGGGAACTGTAGGGAGGGAACCCTGACTTGGCCCTCTCACCAAATATTTTTTAATTGAGCTTCAGAGACATGCTCTCGAGAGACTGTTGGGCCATGTGGATTTACATGTTTTGAATTTTCATGCCAATGCCAACCTAAAACATTCACACTCACTCTGGACACATGGGCCACCCTTAAGAGACAACTGTTGTGCAGCCTCAGAGTTTGAGTCTGGCTTCCCATGGGGGTCATGTCGGTGCCCCGCTGGGGAGTGTTGCTGGCTGCCGTCAAGACAGCAACGTTTGCCACATACTTGGCACAAGCACTCGTGCGCATTCTCTTGCCAGTCATAAAGGCAACACTTCTTCTGGAGTGACAGGTCGTAATTGAAAGAGACTTATGTGGGATGAGATTTGAGTTTACATTTAATAAGGTAGATTTTGACTTGACATCATGAGAGAACAAAGTGTCAAGGAGTGGAATACTGTGTGAGCTGCGGAGGCTAACGAGGCAAGCCAGCAGAAGGCAGCTTCGTGGAGACGATGCCTGCAAACCAGGCTAAGGCCAAGGCACACGGCTGCACGCTGTGTAAATGGCAGCAGAAGATCCTGGTGCCCACTAGGACACAGCAGGGGTCCCATGGAACTCACAGGAACTGGCCCACAAGTGCTTTTGATGTTTCGATTTGCAGAAGGGCATCAGTAGTGGGTAGAAAACATGAAATCACTTTGGAAAATTGACTGTTTTTGTTTAACAGTACTGACTTTTGGATGTAGTACTAAAGTCTGGCAGGCCTGTCGGAATATTATGACTTAAATGAGTTCATGGCTAAAAAGAAAAAAACAGCGGTAGCAATAAGACAATAATAATACAAGTCAAAGCTCATCAAGACCAGAATAAAAAGAATTAACTAAAAAACAAGTGGAACTCCAAAGCACTAAAACCAACATGAGTGTTTGGTTTCGGCAAAACATGTCACATAAAACCAATGGAGCAACATCTGAGTATTACTGATTATATATGTTATTATATTTAATTTACACATTTTAAAAATGGGGCTGTTAATTTAAAGAGATTACACCTGCTTCATTTGTGCACTTGAAGCCATGGTTATGATAAAAGTATTTATACTAATACTGGAGGTCCTCAAGGAAAACATTTTCCTTTAAAGGAGTCTGAGTACTAGTCAAGCACTGGAGGAGTTGAAAAACCAGGGACCGAGTGGTCAGACTGATTGTGTTGCATAAATGAGGTGCAACAATTAGTAGAAGTACAGACCCAACTAGTTTAAGTTGAAAAGCTTATCAAGGTGATGACACATGGTGGCAATGAAGAATAGTGAAGGGCGGGTGTTGATGGGAGCGGAGTTCCAGGGGTGTAGGTGGGTGGGCCTGAGTGTCCCTGTCCTCCCTCACCCTCCTCCATGTTTCCCAGCTGCACAACAGGTGTCTCCGTCCTCCTCTGCCCTCTTCCATGTTTTCCAGCTCCCCAACAGGTGGGCCGGAGTGCCCCCTCCTCCCTCACCTTCCTCCACCTTTCCCAGCTCTACCTCAGGTGGGCCTGAGTGTTCCCATCCCCCCTGCCCTCCTGTATGTTTCCCACCTCCCTCAGCTGTCAGAGCTCGTGAACATGATTTCTAAAGCTCCCATCAGCGGAGGGCTGACTTGATCATGTGATGACACCTGCTAGGTGGGAGGCAGGTCAGGAGTCCTCCTCCCGAGAGAACTTTTGTTCTGGGAGGTACATGGTGCCATCTCCACCCAGAAGTTCCTGGCTGGTTTCTTGTCCTATCACCCCCTCTCCTCCACAGCGGGGCATGGCTGTGTGCCCAGTGGTAATGGCCTCCAGCCACAAAGGTAACAACGTATTATCAAGGGGACAGAGCCAGAACGAACCCAGGAACTCGGCCGTGGTGATTTCCCCCTGTTTGTTCACGTCCTTCTCCTTGCACTGTTTCAGGAGTTCCCGCCAGCAGCCCTGGATTCTCTTCCGGAGCTTGGTCTCGATGGGTTCGCAGTTTTGCAGGGGTGGAGGACACGGGATCGTGACTGTACTAGCTGGAGTCTGGGGGGAAAGCAAAGAAAATGGTCTTGGGACTTGAGGTTGAGAATGGAAGTAATCAAAAACCTTACAAATATGACTCAGGTTTTGAGGGTCACAATTTTACAGGCAGTATTAGCCCAAAGATAAAATTAAACTGGAACATAGATGGTAATTTTGCAATTTACTCTTTATTGCCACCAGTGGGCTTGATGTATTTGCGCCAAACCATAATAACCAAATTTTGGAAACGTACAGCCAAGGTTCAGATGTACAGGGATACTATTTAAATATATTATTAGTGTGTGTGTGCAGTGACAATGGCGTCTTTTTCACCGGAAGAAGAGCTTTATCAAAGAAAGGGATTTATTTGTCATGTGCACAAGGCATCGGAGCCTGTGAATGCTCACAGAAAATCTGTTATTTTGAAATGATGTGGACTAAGCATGAAGCTGATCCTTGCTCTCTTGTGTTTTCCATTTAAAACAAGGGGGTGAATCTAATCTAGCTCAGTCTTTTCTCCTGGACGCCTGCTCTTGCATGGTTATCTCATCTAGAAATGCACCTTAGTCCATTGGATTCCCGGTCTTTCTCCCCAACCTTGAGCTTCTGCCTCTTAGTTGATAACAACCCATTATCAACTGACTTGACTTTCCTTCTCCTGATCCTTCCCCATTCCACGTCTAAGCCCTCAGGACATCCTGTTTGTTCGACCTTGAAGATACAGATAGAGTCTGACTGTGCTCATCAGTGGCCTCGCCTGGCTCCAAGCCACCATCGTTTGTCTCTCCCAGACTGTCTTCCTGCTTCTTCCTGTCCCCCCGTGCTCCCAACATCTAGAGTGGTCTTTAAAGAGTCCCTCAGATCATGTTACTTTGCTGCTTAAAAACATGTGAAGGCTCCATGCCAATGTCCTTATCACGGTCCTCCAGGCCTGTACGAGTTCCTGTTGCTGGTGTAACAAATTACCACAAATTTAGTGACTTAAAACAACACAGTTATGCTCTTACAGTTCTGGAGGTCAGAAGTCTGAAATGGGTCTCAGTGAGATAAAACCAAGGTGTCTAAATCCATTTCTTGCCTTTTCCAGCTTCTTCGAGAGCCTGTCCACACTCCTTGGCTTGCGGCCCCTTCCTCTATTTTCAAAACCAGCAACGTCACGTGGAGTCTTTCTCAAGTCGCAGCTCTCTAACGCGGACCCTTTTGCCTCTGGATTCCCATTTCAAAGCCCTTTTGATTACTCTGAGACCATCTAGGAACTCAGGATAACCTCCCTCTCCAAAAGTCAGCTGGTTAGCAACCTCAATTCTGCTTGCAGCTTTAAGTCTCCCTTGCCATGTAAGGTGATGTTGTCACAGGTTCCAAGGCTCAGGGTGCAGACATCTTTGGGGTGCTCCTGTTCCCCCTTCATTCTGCTCTACTTATCGCCTTTCAACTTATGAAGTACGCGTGTTGACTGCTTTGTTACCTACCAGCTCCTAAAGGAACGTAAACTCCACCAGGGCAGGAACTTTTGGTCACTCTCAGCTGTAGAAAATCCCCAGCCCATGGTAGGTGTCCAATGCAGGTGTGTGGGATGAATAAATGATATCATAGGCACCGTCTTTGCGTGCTCACCACGCACTATGTGCTGGCTGCAGTATGTGAGTGCTGTGGCATTCTCTCAACCATGCTGCCTGGGAGACATTGCCACCCCTTCTCGTAGACAAGGAGAGAGCCTTGGGGAGTCTGGGTACCTTCCTTCATCCCAGGGCTCAGGACTGTGCAGGTTGACAGGCCTGGACTTAAGATCAGGTCTCTTCATGTCTAACTGGGGGAGGGACCAAGAGCACACGGTGACACCTCTTAGTGTCTTATTGCCTTTAACTATAAAATGGGTATAACTTATCTTCCTCCCAGGGAAGCATGTGCCAAGGACCCACTGGGTTCCTTTCCTGTGCCCCTTGCCCCAGACTCACCCTGCTTCTCCGTCACTTGACCCCTGGGCACGACGAGGGTCCCCCAAAGTCCCTCGGCCCAGTGGGATTTGTGGGTCTGGAGTGAGATGGTGGGTGATAAAACTCACACAAGGCTGACCCCGCAACTTTGACCCTGTTCTCAGGTCCCGAGTGGATGATGGGACAGCAGATGTGGCTCCTTCTGAGATTTCAGGGACGCTGCTCCCTCTCTGGGCCACCATCGAGTCACCAGTGGCCGTCGGTGTCGCTGCTGTCTCGGTATTGAATCTGCTCAGGAAGTCCAGGTACCTCAGCCTCCCCTTGGCATTGACTGGCATCTCGCTCCAGAGCCTGTCAAACTGGCAGAGAAGTGGAAGTCATTTCCCAGGTGTCAGTGCAAGCCCTGACACAGTCACACCCACACCGCCAGCGAGTGGGACCGGTGGGAAGCGAGCGTGCACGTGACCAGCAGGGGTTCGAGGCCCACGGCAAGAAAAAAATTTAAAAAGCGAAAAGCGCATTTGGCCTCCACTCAGTGGAGGCCTCTGGAAGATGGGAAAAGCAAAGACAAGAGGATTATTCATGGCTTCCGCAGGACATTTTTTAATTGAATTGGGCCCTTAGTGAGCACTTTAAGGCCGTTAAGCCTTGTGATTAGTCACAGAGCCTGAGCTGCAGCATCCAGGAACATTTGGGAGAAAATGCAAATCGAAGCCCAACCCACCTTCGTCCCAGGAAAACCCAGTCAGGCTCATTTCTCCTCCTCCAGGTACACCTGAGCTCTGTGAACGGCTCACCAGGTGATGCAGACCTCAGCCACCGTGTTTGCATCCTCTGTTTATTTTACCCTGAGGGCAAAAAATGTCTTCCCACAAGATGAAAAGGGAGGTGTTTGGAAAACCAGAGAGAAGTTTATGGCTTTGTGTTGTTGCAGCCTGATACCACAGACTATATCAAAACCACAAACTGCACAGACAGAACAAAATGACTCACTGCATCCTAAACGAGCCGCTTTGGGTGACTGGAGGGATTTTGGGGAGCGGAGAAGAATGGTAATTTACTTCCAGTCTGATTTTTTGTGCAGCTCCTAAAGCCCAATGGAGCCCCAGGCTTCCGCAGCTGCTGATGGAGAGAAATCCTCCTGAGAGGCAGGGAGGCTCAAACCCCACTCCCTCCTTTCCCCTTGAAGCCTGGGCTTTGCCAGAAGCCGAGTTTGCCTCTGGGTCTCCAGTGGGGTTTTCCAAAAGCAAACTGAAAGTGACCATCTTGGGCTCTATTTGAATTCCCTGAAATGAAGCAGTGAGGAGCTGTGCAGGCAAGGAGAGTATGCCAGGCCCTGAAAAGGCAAAAAATGGAGAGTTCGGGAAAATATTCCTGGTCGGTTGATTGTTTTCTACTTTTTAATTGAGAAATAACTAGAGACTTGCGGGGAGTGGCCAGGATAGTACAGAGAGGTCCCCTGTGCCCTTCCTGCCCTTGCCCCCAAGGCAGCATGTGACAACACTAGAACCAGGAGATTGACACTGGCGTAGTGTGTGCAGGTCTGATGTCATTTTATGACACGCATTGGTTCCTGCTGATTTAATTTTGGCCAATGAAGAAAAACTATTTGGTGGAGAAGTGAGGGGACCTTGAGGAAGCAACCACAGCATCTCAGATCTCACTAGCATCAAGTGGGAAACCCTCAGCTCTGCCACCTCCGTGTCCTCCAGGACAGTTCCCCAAAGACCCCATCTGACACCTTCCCACATGGTGCCAAAACCACCTCTGCAGGTGACCTCTCCCAGTCTGACCTGGAAGCTCCCTGCAGGGTCCTTTGAGATTCATCTTTATTTTTTAGTTTTTTAAGTTGGAGTCTCACTCAGTTGCCCAGACTGGAGTGCAGTGGCCGCTCCCAGTCACTGCAGCCTTGACCTGCTGCGCTCCGGCGATCCTTCCGCCTCACCCTTCCAAGTAGCTGGATCTGCAGGCACGCACTACCACGCCCGGCTAATTTTTTTGATTTATTGTAGAGATGAGGTCTCGCCAAGTTGCCCAGGCAGGTCTTGAACCCGCGGGCTCAGGCAATTCACTCACCTCGGCCTCCCAAAGCGCGGGATTACAGGTTGAGCCACCGAGCCCGGCTGAGATTCATCTTTAGATGTTAAACTTTGTCTGGCAAAGGGACTGGCACACAGTAGATGCTCAATAAATGTATGCTAAATGACTGATGTTCCTCAAAGATTTACATGGTAAGCCTGATCAGACCCAGGGGAAAGACACTTTAAGGCAAGGAGTGACCGAACATGCTAGACACTGATCTGATCACAGTCATCCTGAGGGGCTTTCTTTTTTTTTTTTTTGAGTTGGAGTCTCATTCTGTCACCCAGGCTGGAGTGTAGTGGCGTGCTTTCGGCCACCGCACCTCGACCTACTGGGCTCCGGCGATCCTTCTGCCTCAGCCTTCCAAGTAGCTGGAACTATAGGCGCGTGCTACCACGCCCAGCTAATTTTTTTTTTTTTATTGTAGAGATGAGGCCTCGCCAAGTTGCCTGGGTGGGTCTGGAACCCGCGGGCTCAGGCAATCCACTCACTTTGGCCTCTCAAAGTGCTGGGATTACAGACTGAGCCACTGAGCCTGGCCTGAGGGGCTTTCACGGAGAAAAAGAGAGTGAGGATTGTGACAGAAGACCCCGTGGGCTCTCATGCTCCTCTTTGGGCTGGACTTGGGAGATGAGGAGAAGGAAGGCCACGCTGTCGAGAATAAACGCCAAGGACTGGCATGCATGCTTAAGGATGCAGCGAAAACTGAAGCATGGAAAACAACCAGGAGGCGGGGACTAACCAACTCCCTAATTAAGTCCTTCCAAGCAAAGGAGGCCAAGGAAGGACTGTGGAAATCCTGTTTCCATCTGATTTTAACTAGAGGTCTCAAAATGGGAGGGCAGTGTAAACATCCCTGGGAAGAAGTAGACCCTGCCCACCCTTGGCCCTCCAACCTCGGTGGATGACACCTAGAATACTGATGGGCTTTAAGAGGCACCAGGATGGCAGCTGTGGGCAACCGTGGGGCTGGAGAGGCACCAGGGAGTTGAATTCTCAAGAACTGCAGGCCAGTGAGCTGGCATGAAAACCGAGCAAAATTCTGGGGCTTGTGAATGAATCAAAAAGCAAGTGAGTTTCAGTGTCTGCACATCCTGGAATGTCCCTGGTCTCCTTAAACTCCCTTCTGAGCCCGAGAAATACACTACCTTGGGTTCTGCCTCTGCTTATGATGATGAAAGTTGCAAGAAAATGCCCTCGCCTTTAACAAGAGAAAGCCACATAGTCTACAAATCAGCACTTCCCCTGAGGCCATGGCCATGGAGCTGGGGGAACTGGATTCCAGAGTCCTGGCTCCAAGGAGAGCCAGACACAACGGCTCTCATTCTGGCAGAGCCCAGGAGGAAGTGGTGGTGGCTACTGAGGAGAGTGGGAAAAAATCAGCCTCCCTTGGAACAATTCCTGAAGGCCAAGTGTGAGCTGACGAGTCAGTCCAGTAAGTGGAGGACCCAGGCACGAGGGCATTCACACCTGCTCCTGGGTGCCTCTCCACAAGCCTTTGCTGGTAGTCCAGATCAATCTGCAACCATGAAGTGAATGCGCGTGTTTGTGTGTGGGGGCACCAAACACCACCCACTTCTCCAGACCTTCCCCCGCCCCGCAAAGACCGCAAAACACTTAAGCGGCTGGGGGAGGGACTGCAAACCCATTGAATCCTCTGCCCCTAGGAGAGGGAGGGGTAGAGTGTTCTTCTTCCTCCACCAGGAACCAGGCCCAGGACCCTAAAGGAGGGGTGGGAGCAAATACCCCTGCAGGACGGGCAGTCACCTCTTGGACACAAATCTGCCCCTCCACAAAGCAGAGGTCTCAGGTCAGCCAGCACTGGTGATGATCTCCAACCCAGCACAGATAGAGGCAGCGTGCAGCCACGGAGGGCCTGAGAGGGATGGGTACACTGAGAAGGTGCCACGCTGAGACCCAGTGGCACAAGGCACTACCCACCCTGTCATGAGCCTGGCATCAATGAACAGGAAACAGGAGAGAGAAGGTGACCCCTCTGTGCGTGGTGCAGGGAGAAAATCCTCCAGCGGCTCCTGGCCCATGCCAGGCCCTCAGAACTTCTCTTCTGGCACCTCCTAGTTTTAGACACTCTTCTCACCCCTCCTTCTGAGATGAGCTCTGCATTCACCCACCACTCTGCTTACTCTACCCATCATCCCACCCCCTAGCTTTCACTTCCCTCCTGAATGAAGCTCCTATTCTGCACAAATAGTCCTCACTTTCACTCGCCACCCCTCCCCCGGTCTCTTTCACTGCACTGAACTTACTGGTAGTACTCTGGACATTCCTACCCTTTCTTGCCCTCAGTGGTGACTATCCCGTGCCATTTCTAACATAACTCTGGACATTCCTACTCTTTCTTGCCCTCAGTGGTGACTATCCCGTGCCATTTCCTCTGTAGATTTCTGAAGGCCCTGCGCTCTCAGATGATAAACTTGGCCATGTATTTCAGAGAAAAAAATGTTCATTACATCAAATTAGCTGCATCTGTGTCCCTGTGACCCTCTCTGAGGTCACACACTCCTCCTGCCTCTGGTTGCATGCCCCACCCCAGCCTGCCTTCTTGAGCTACAGAGGCTGGGAGGTAAAAACTACAGCGCCCATTCCCCCTTATAGCAGATACCACTGTCTGAAATGTGGAGGAAGGGAACAAGCCCTCAGTCAGTGATCAGCTTGGTGACAGACACGTTTGTTTTGTCCGCTTAGCACCATAGGTGCTGGGCTCCGCTGTAAGGCTACGGTGGCAGTTTCTTCTGGAAGAGACCCACCATGGGGTCAGGTTTCTCCTGGCTGCTGTGGTTCCTGGCTGTGGGGGCATCCTCCCTGGTTCCCCATCCCCTCCAGAGCTTCTGTAAGTTCCTTAAACTCTTCCAAAAATCCCTTTGCTTGAACTAGCTTGTGTGGATCTTGTAACCTGCAACTTAGAACCCTGAACAATACACAAAGCAACAAAAGAAGTCTCCAGATAAATCAGAACAAAAAAGATATTCAGATCATGCCTGAAATCATGTTCACAATTATGTCTCTTTCAATAGTGCCTTTTTCTGTGGCCAGATTTTCTATTTTCTGGCCACAACACAATATACATAGAAGCCAACCATAAAAGATACTATGTCTGGAAAATGAAAACCTCACTCCTAAATAGTTTATGGCTTAAAGAGATCTCAGGCAATATGGCAGTCTAGACATTCTAATCAGCCTTCATTCACAAAACACTCGGCTGATGAATAAATATTTTTTAAAACAGATGTTTGAATTCATTGTAGAGTGCACAAAG